ATAGTGCAAACTGCACTGATTTCAATCCTTTATTTAGATGAATCCAAACAGCAGAGAAGACTCAAAAAACCCCGGTAATTTATTCACATTTTCTGTAGAGAGCCTGTACGGTCTCTGTGGTCTCTCTATTTTATTCAAATGTCACTTCCATTGCTGTGATGTCTCCAGCCCTGGTTTCTGCAAAACTACAGCTGCTTTGTTGGTGAAAGCTCTGACATTCAGTTCTGGAGACCTGACATTTCCCCAGAAGTCTTGAACATAAGCAGGTATTGTTTACTAGAATTTGGAGAGGTATGTCCAAATGGGCAAGTCCAGAGCCAGAATAAAGCATGTCTGGTGCCTCTACTCGAGGAAAAGCTTCTGACTGTGAAAGCAGGCTTTCCCCCCTCAGGGAACTTTGCAAGGAAATCCAGAGCAAATGTCTTACACCTCACTGACAGCAATGTTCAGTCAAATTAACACCATAGACACAAACACAAAAAAAGAGTGAAGTTTATCCAGGACAGCTTTAGCTAAACATAAGATTAGGATGCTATAAAAATATATATTTAAAATGAATGTTATAGCATTTAAACTAATAATGTAGAACCTTTGTAAAATAAACTTCCTTATTCACATCACAGGAACAGATGCTGGACAATATGGCCTGATGCTGCAGGCAAGAAATTCTGGTAATGGGACAGCACTTACAAAAAACTGCATAGCTTGGAAATCTTCCAAGAGCCCATGGGGCTCTGTATAAGGAAGATGCTTATACTTTACACCATGCCACAGACTTACTTATATCCTCTCCTAATTTCCATGCTTCTGTGTGGGGCCAGGAAGCCAAATATTTTACAGGATGGACAAAATCAGGCAACCCCTTTGCCTTAATAAGTTTCTTCTTTCTTGGGCTGTAGCGTTTTCTGCAAAGTCCTCTATGGCAATGTATAGGAGGGACATCGGCTCCCTTGAGTCAGCTAGACGCACACTGGCAGGACTCACAGATGAAGCTGGGTTTTGGGGCATGTAACCAAAGTGTAATGATCATTGGGTTCAATAAACCAGCCATGCATGAATGAGAAGAACTGAAAAACAACCTTTTACTGTGGAGCAGCAGACAAACCTCTGCAGTCCCTTGCGTCTCTAACTAACAGAGGGCACCTAACTGAGGGACCATCTCCCAATTCCCAATTCTTTTAAAATACGGAGTGTTTCTAAATTATAACTTATATTGCTACGTGGGGCAATTGCCAATGGCCCCATGAGCCTGAGTCCTGTGTGTGGATGTGGAAAGAAAGGAATCTACATCTCTAACCTCTGCCTGGAGCCTCTGGAGTCTGATGCTGGCTCTGCTAAACCTCATGAAGGTTATGCAAGCCTGAAAAATAGTTGGACATACTTTACTGTCTTCAGTTCATTGTCATCAGGCTGGAAACAAAAGTCCTATATTTCACTGATGGTGACAATGGTAGAGTACACCAAAACTATTCCTGATATGCACTGAATGGCCATATGATGACCAGCACTGAGCAAACTTACATGGTAGAGCTTCCAAAAATCCCATCATCTCCAAAGTTTGGGAATGCTCTGAGAATCAGAATGAGAGTGAAAATTTGGTTGCTTGGGGCATCACCAATATGCATTAAAGAAACACAATCTCTGTCTGCAGATTTGCTTACAAACTACCAAACATGCAAGCATAAAAAGTGCATAATCAGTGTAAATACAAGACAGGGTAAATAGGCTACCTTTGCTGGCCCGTAGACATGTTTGTCTTCAGGATTAGGTACAGACATTCAAAAAACCTGAGGTAGAATCAATCTAAGTTATGTTGTTTTCTGTATGCAGTGTAGTCTATTCCAGGCTCTGGAGACTTGGATAGTATAGAAGTTTTTCATCATGTCCAGTCTAAAATGGTCTTCCAGCAGTTTGTGACGATTAGACCTTGTCTTCCCTTGGTGTGCCCTGGTGAACAGACCATCTCCCAGTTCCTGATGCACACCGTTTATATACTTATAGGCTGCCACCAAGTCACCCCTGAGCCTTCGCTTCTCCAAGCTAGAGTACCATGCCTTTGCTACCATACTGAATAGCTTTGCCCATCAGTATGATCAGGATCACACCTTAAGTTCCCCATTTCACTCTTAGTCCCAAATCCTTAACTTCTTCCATGATACACCTGAGATTCGCCAGGTGTTCTTTTGAAAATCAGACATGGGCAGATCCAGGGGAAGGTACATGAGTGCAGCTACACCCCCCTTTGGTTGTGCAGTTCACGCACAATGAGATCCCTCGGCTCATCAGCTTGTCGAGTGGCTGCCTGTGCCTCCATTGACACCCTCCGGAACCAATGGTGGACATCATTGCTATTTGCCCCCCTCATCCCCTTGCTCATTACCAAATTTAGCAGCAGGGGAAAAGGAGGGATGAGCATCAGTAGTGACATTCACCGCCTGGCTCTAGACTTGTGCCAACTGAGTCTGTGGCGGCAGCCACGCTGACAAGCTGGTGAACTCACTGCGCGTGTGCCACTCAAGTGAAGGGGAGTTTGGCTGTACCCCTTCACCCACACCCTGGATACACTCCTAAATCCAGACCTCTGATGCCACAGAACTACTACTAAACCCTCAGTACTATCAGCAACACTCCCAAGTACTTTTTGACATCACATTATTAAGAATATAGAAATTTGTCCCTGAATCTTTCACATAGAGATATTTCAGATTTCAGGTCTAGTGACCAACTACACCCTTGACCTTTTTTTTTTTTTTTTTTTTTTTTTTTCCCCCTTTTTC